CACACACACACACACACACACACACACACACACACACAATATATATACATATACATACATGCACATTCATGTATATTGAAATGTCTTTACTAAAATGCACGATTAGATAATAATAAATGTATAATATGATATATATATATTATATATTATATATATATATATATATAATGTATAATAATATAATAAGTAAATGTATAATAATAAATAATAAATAATAAATAATAATCAATGTGTGGCATGGAGGCTGCACAGCTGCAGGGGGGAAAGCTTTGCAGAGAGTGGTGAAGGCTGCACAGAAGACTGTTGGAATCAGTCTCCCCACCATCACAGACATCTACACCTCCAGATGCAGGAAGAGGGCCACCTGCATCATGAGGGACCCCACCCACCCAGCACACACACTTTTTGCCCCACTCCCCTCGGGAAGGAGGTTAAGGAGCATTGAGTGTAGAACCACTAGACTGAGGAACAGCTTCTACCCTGAGGCTGTTAGACTCATGAATCTCTAACTAGAATAGTCACTGTGAAAAACCATATCATGTTGCTGCTGATCTGTTTCATGTTGCTGCTGATCTGTTTCAATGTTGATGTGTTCATGCGTGCACATCTGCTCACAGACTCGTGTTCATGTTTGTGCTGATGTTCAATGTTTTATGTTATGAGTGCTTAGTGTATATTTAGTTGATGTTTTTCTTAGTTCATATCTTAGATGTTATTACTGTTTTTCTTATACATTTTATTGTTGGATGTAACTGGGACCCTGTGTACATAATTTCGCTCCACCACATGTACCACATGAGGTGCGAATGACAATAAAGAAACTCTGACTCTGACTCTGACTCGAATAACCGGTGCTGTTTACTTAAAAGAATAAATATTACATACCGGTAATTGAGTGTGTCATCTAAGTTTGTCAACTATTTTTTTTTTATTTATTTGGCAAAGTTGTCTAAAGTGAGCTGAAGAATTCAACCTTTTTAAATGTGCACATTTCATCTAATTAGCCAAACAGTTAGATGTACACCTGAAACTTGTTCATGTTTCGTTAAGTATCTTCTACAAAAACTCAGATCACAAAACAGAGTTCCTAAAGGCTGGAGGAGAAAAAAAACAAGGTATTTTATTATTTGACCGTTTGTGGCTCATCACCATGAAGGATCATCGCTGCAGCCCAGATGTTGAACCAACAGCCAAATGACTAAACCCCAGTGGGTACCGTCCTGCAGCATAAGAAGAGCTCCTCATGGAGACAATAAAGTTTAATTTTACAAGGTTTTAATTTGTTTCTTGTTTAAATGTCCTCCCATTCTACAATTTTTAACACAGATTGTGTCAAAACTGTGCTTACAGTTACTGCTAGACTGGTGGGACTGATTTTCCTTCATCTTCTTGTTCAAATCACTTCCTGCAGCCTTCAGATACTTTTTACACAAACATACACCGCTTTAAAAGATGTTTTTCTTTGGATAATGTGCAGAATGTGACTGTTTTGGTTTTCGGTGGAGTTCAGAAGTAAAGACAAGTCAAAGAGAGAGCATTTATAACTTCCTGGGATTCACTGGAGACACACACACACACACACACACCACAGAGTTGATTTCAGCGTTAAGAAATGTGCTGAGCTGCACGAAGCAGGAGCCAAGGGCAACAAAACACTAAATACAAACGCTCCTCTGAGCCGGGTACTTTCCCTTCACTGCTCGCGCTTCAAAACTACGGCTGTTTCGAGCGAGATGAGCCTGTAGAAGCGTCTGCATCAAACAAAGACAAACATCTGGAGTTTTGTCTTTTGACTCCTCTTATTCAGTCTTTATTTTTATCCAGTTTCCTTCATGTAACCCTCTGCAGGATGATCCAGAGGCTTAATGAGCCACTTGGCTTCCTGCACCATCTGGAAAACCCCTCCTGCTGCCGTCGACCTCGGCTGAAAGACCACATCTGGGTGCAAACTCTAGATCATGAAGAATATAAACAGATATAAGCACTTATCGTGTACTTTTAAATTATTTAAAGTACAACAGTCCCTCGCCACTTAGCTGACTCGCTCTTTCACGGTTTTTTGACACAGGATCATTAACTTTAATATTACTCGCATGATTGGGATGGTACAGGATAGAAGTTTAATGAAAATACTTCGGACAGGTGCCGCCATTTTGTAGTTTTCTTTTAATAAGCCTATACTGGAACACCCATCAAAAGAACTACACTACCCAGAAGCCAACAGTGCTTCTGGCCGCTGCTTTCTGCCGAAATGGAGGGAAAGTTTTGCAACGCAAAGTCAGAAGTCACGATCTATCTGTTAAGCTCACAGAACTCGAAGTAAAATCACAAATAATCCTGAAGCTCGATTATCCACGTGCACATCAACCTGGATGGGGTGGTGGACTTCATCGCTGCAGGGTAGGTCTGACGAACCGGAACCGAACCAGAACTGAGCTGCTGGTCTGCAGAGCTGGTGAGTAAAATTTTGCAGTACTGTACAGTACATATATGTATGTTGTTAAAATAATGTAGGTTTAAGATTTTAGAACATTGCCAGAGTGTGGGAAGGGTTTATAAAGTCTTAAAATATTATAAATACTAGAATTAATATAGCGTTCCTACTTTACGGTTTTTCACCTATCACGGTGTTGTCTGGAACGTAACCCTCGCGATAATCGAGGGATTACTGTATTACTCTTTAATAGGGCTGGGCAATATCTCAAAATTTTCAAAATGTCCAGATAATTTCATACACAATATAAAATGAGACTATATCGATTTAAAACTATAGTCTCATACTCTACGTTGTTATAATTTTACTTTAAATTCTGCCAGTTTTTCTCCCAGTCTGCACCTCCAGGCAGCCACTCCTCTTCTCCCTCACTGAATACAAACCCAGCCCCTCACACGCTCCCCCCACCTCCTGCTGTGTAAAACTGCATGCTTCTGCAGCTCCTACTAACTATATTTACATGCACAAAATTCTTTGACCGGATTGAAATGTTTTCAGATTAAATAATTAGAATGTATCGTTTACACGGGCACAGTCCGTTCACGACGAGCGTTTACGTGTAGCTAGATTTTATTCTGAACAGAAGTACTGACATGTACAGAGTGGTAAACTCTCCTTAAAAAAACACCAAAGAAGAAGTTCTATTTCCATGATGAACGTAAACAAACCTGAGCACCCAAAATGGACCCGCAACAGGTTTTAATGACGGTGGAGACGTTCCTGCTCTCCCTGACTGAGCAACAAGGAATCCAGATCATTTTGAGCTCTTTCAAAGTTTCTAGTAGAAATGTTGTGTCGCTCAACGACCAGTTTTGCTCCCCCGACATATTAGCATCTAGCCAGGCGGAAATACATGAGGTAGACAGGTTGCACATGCACATTCTGGTTAGTTTTCCACGATCGGAATAAAACGATCAGATTAAGTGTTTACATGCACACCGTTCGGATTATGAATCGGCATAAACCAACACTCTCATTTGGATTACAAATTATTTCGGATCGAGCTGAATCACCAAAGAATAATCCGAATGGAGCGTTTACAGGACGCATTTTTATTCTGAACGGCCGTTTAATCCGATTACTTATGTCCATGTAAACATAGCTACTGTGAACAAGCTAGATGCATATGCAGATATCAATCATAACAACAGTTGTTGATTCACACTCTGATGACATGGATGTAAATTCCTGATAGGTGTGAAAATGACTGGGTAGCTGCTACAAAGGAGAGTTTGTTGTTCTCCAGGACATTAACTGGTTAAGAGCAGAATATGAAGTTGTCTTCTCATTAAAAAACACAGAGACAAATATCCAGATTAGGATGATTTATTTACTGTGTTTCTTGTGGCATTCGCACACAGCAGTAACCAGTAATGTGTAAACAGAAGCTCAAACAGCAAGGCTACGTTGGTGTCGGGAGAGAGAAATCCCCAACGCACCGCACGCAGCACGAGTTTGCGCAGCACGGCACTTTACACAGAGCGATGCGTTGAGTAGTGTCGAAACAGCCACGGTGCATTCAAGAGCATAGGAACCATGAAATTCAGAAAGAAACAAGTCATAACCAAACAGAACCGAGTTCAGTAAACAAGCCAACTACACAACAATGTGATCTTTCTAACAGCTTTGTTAAATAAAGTTAATAAAGGTTGAATGAATAAACGACATTAGAATCAGACTTTTAAAAAGAAAGTCGGCCTTTCATTATGTTTGCTCTGTATGTGTTCTGTTTTAATTTTAAGTGCATAGCTGTGATTTTGGTTTTGTTTTGTAGGAAAGACGATTTATTTTTGATATATTTATTTTGTACAGTTACAGCTGTTTGTTAAAAAAGGTGCCTGTGTGACAACAGGGACTAAGCTTTGACTCAGAAATACATTTTTGTTGTTACTTTATGGAAAGAAAAAATATATTGAGACATGTATTGCCATTCATCTTAAAAATATCAATATGTAATTTATGTTCATATCGCTCAGCCCTGCTCTTTACACGCATTAATCCCAAATCTGGTCTGGTAAGAACTGAGTGTCAAAACACCTTTGCTTAAATGTTTGGCATACAGGACGGCAGGAAAAGTGCATTCCTTCAAAGAATAGCCATATTAATTTATTTATATAGGAAGCGTTCTTTTACACAATAAAGAAACAGTATTAGAATGTTAAAAGAGACGTAGAATAAAGACGAGATAAAAATAAAGATTTAATAAAGATTTATACTGTAATAACATGCCTAGAAGGAATGCATTTTCCTTGACAACTTGCATGTCAAATAAAACACAAACAAACGTGCACATCTGTTAGTGCTCAGAGTTTGTGTTGGGGATTATACTCAGCGACTACAATGCCAAGTTTGAGTTTAATATATTTAAAAATGTTGCTTTAAATTTGTTTTCAAGAGCACGAAAGGTCAAGTATAGATTGTGTATTTGCTGATGGGGCTGAACGTATCAGTCCACTGACAGTTGAGTAACTTTTGACTGACGAGACGTGCTCATGGGCGGCACGATGGCACAGTTAGAACTGCTGCCTCTCAGCAAGAAGGTCGCCAGATCAAATCCTGGCTGGGGTCTTTCTGGGTGGAATTTGCATGTTTTCTCGGTGCGTGCGTGGGTTTTCTCCGGGTACTCCGGTTTCCTCTCACAGACCAAAAAAAAAAAATGCATGTAAGGCTGATTGGTAACTCTAAATTGTCCTTAGGTGTGAGTGAGAGTGAATGGTTGTCTCCATTGTCTCCGTGTCCCTGTGATGGACTGGAGACATGTACAGGGTGTCCCCACCTCTCGCACAGGGACTGCTGGAGAGACACCAGTTCCACGCGACCCAGAAAGGAAAAGTGAGTAAAGAAAATGGATGGATGGTTGTGCTGATGGTCTGATGCGTTCAGGCCTCCAGCACACACTTGCACAGTAAATCTGACATTTTCCACATGAGAAAACATCAACAAACAAAACCAACAGTGTTAAAAAAAAGTGTAAAATCAGTGAATGTAGTGTTCTTTCACATCAGTACGTAATTTTTGCAGTAGCTGTTCAGCAACAATGAAAAACAACAAAAAATAGGGCCTTTGTTTGACTAGCGGTTGACTTAGCCTGGATGAAAACTTTTGCCTTCTCCATTCGCTGTGATCTAAGACTGATGCCACAACTACTCAAGTATAACTATTGATAACCATTCGCCAGACCCTAATTTAAAAAATAAACAAATAACCTTTAATGCAGGGGAGTCAAATTCAGTTACAAACAGGGACCAAAGTTAAAAACTTGGTCCAAGCCAAGTCGATACATTAACTCCAGTCAGACAGCCGACATGTTTTCTTGACTGCAGGTTCATCAACAAGAGTTTCGTTGGTCCCATGTGACGTTCTCTGTTGCCCTTTCCACATCAAAAGGAATGATTACTGAAAAATCCAACCTTTTTTCTGGCTTCAAATTTAACAAACTGTCCTGAGAGGTCTGCACTAAATAGAATATTAAGCTGATTTTTAAGCAAAGAGAAAAACAATAAAAAATATTTGACATTTAAAATATCTTAGAATAGAATAGAATAAAAACAGCCTTTATTGTCCCACGGATGGGAAATTCCAGTGTATCAGCAGCAACAGATAAAAAGATTAAAAGATTTCACACAAAAGTTCCTAAATGTTAATAAACAACACAATATAAGAAATAAGATAAACAATATCAATAATAATGTTCAATATGTATTGGAACATTGAGAATGGCAGACTATTTACAGTACAGTATTACAGGCAGAGTGTATGTTTCAGCAGAGGTCAGCATGTATTTAATCCTTATTGAGTTTGTTGGGAGCAGTGATGGTTGTAGAGTCTAACAGCTGCTGGGAGGAAGGACCTGCGGTAACGCTCCTTTGTGCATTTAGGATGCAGTAATCTGTCACTGAACGAGGGGGGCCAGATACGATGTTAGCGAGGGCCAGATTTGGCCCACGGGCCTTGACTTTGACATGTGCTTTAATGAGTATGTGCACTTGTTTAAGAGATATTTTTCTTATGCTACAAACACACATTTGTGCTTCACCCTCAAATAATTTTTTCATTTTTCCTATTTGCTCTTGACCGACGGTCAAACATAATGTGCACATGCTTGTTTGAGACGTTCCTCGTTAATATTTCTGCAGAAGGACAAACTTGTGTCTCGGGGTGGGTGAGTGTTTCTCCATACCTTGTTCCAGCAGGTGCAGAGCGTGCTGCAGGGCTGATGGGCAGACAGAGGCAGGGAGCTGGCGCTGGGCGGGGAGGAAGCAGGAGACATGGAGGCCGGAGGCGCGGACATGGTCTGATGGTGAGGAGGCTGAGCGTAACAAACAGCAGCTCCATCACAGCCGGGCCCTGCAGCTGGTTCTCCTCCTCCTCCTCCTCCTGATGCTGCGCCTCCTCCTCTGTTCACCTGGAAACAAAAGTCAAAAATCTTTTTGCTATTTTTTTTATTTTTTATCTACTCTTCTCTTTATCACTTCTTTGAGAAAAAAATAAAAGTCTGCATTTCAGCCGTTTTTGCCCCAACACATAAAACAAGCGTTATCGTCTCACAACTTCAAAGCTGATTCTGCACATCTTTCACCTAATTTTAATTCTGGACCCTGACAAACCTAATTTGTTTAGACATATGTTTTTGGTCTCCTTTGATTTAAAGCAGGCTAACATACAGAAACGGTCACTGTTTTCAGATTAACTTAAATCTAGCCAAAGCCTCTCAGAACTAATGATTTATTCTGGCCTTGACAGCTATAGAAGCTTTCAAAGTAATAAAACATTTTATTACATCTTAAGGTAATAAATCTGCACAGTCCGTGTTATTGGGTGAGATTTGCAAATTTAACAATGTTCTCAACTCAACAAGTTATTTTTTTATTTAGTAATGATGATAATGTGCAGGACTCCGGTCAGAAGCTTTTAGTGTTTGCTTATACAAATGTAATGGTTTTAAAGTAGTAGTGCTGGCTTGTGACCAGCTGGTTAAACAATAAGTGATATAAGATGGACTGCATGTACATCGACTACACTCCCTGCAATTAGGGTCCAAACAGAGGTGGCTTCCTGTAGTTGTTTTTTTTTCTTGGTTTGGCCGAGGCCTCGGGAACTGGCTGAACCATCAGGCGCTCTTCAGTGAGTCCCCTTCAAGTCCTGGAGGTTGATCCAGGTGAGGAAAATGTTCACTGGGGCTATCCCTCATCATCATCATCTCAACTGGAAAGGGTGAATCGCTTCGATCGGATCAGGAACGAGTGCCTCGAATGGATCAGAGAGTCTTGGGAAAGATAGAATGCAGGAGATAGATCGACTTCCTTGTATGCAGTTGCTCCAGTCTGTCGTGGTGAATAAGGAGCTGGAGCTAAAGATCTCGATGTATCAGTGTTCCAACCATGAGGTGTGGCTCATGACAGAAAAAACACCTTGGACTCTAGCAGCTGAAATGAATTCCCTCCACATGGTGGCCAGCGTCAGGGATAAAGTGAGGAGCTCCTCATATTTATTTAATCAGGCAGATCCCATTGAAATCACAGATGCATTTTGCAAGGGAGGCCTGGGCTTGAAGACATGTTGTGAGCTGATGCATGCTCAATAATCCAGGTAAATAAATCTACAAGAATTTAGTAAGATTTTCATGATTTTTTTGTTTTGTTTGGAGTTCTTGCCATCTGTAAACGTTCTAAACTTTTTATGCAGACTTCGGTAGAAGAGCTCATCACCTTAACGGCAGTAAATTTTGTTTATTCGCACGCTGCCAATTCCTACATGTGTCCAGTTTCACTACTTTTTGTCTGTCTAAACAGAGCTCACTTGTAAATGAGTCTTCCAGGCTCAATGTGACTTAACTGTCTAAATAAAGGTTGAATGAAAAATGAAGGACTAGTTACTTCTGTGAAGTTTGATCTCATTCTCAGCCAAAACACTGTTTTATGGAGCTGCTGTCACTTCCTTTAAAGTGGCTACATTAAATCTAATTTTAACGCTCACGGTGAAGTCAAGGAAAAACAAAAAACAAAACATGTGAAACATGAGTCACGTGACTCAAGGTTCCACGCAAGTTTGGGCGCATTTGTTTACATCAAGTGCGTACCCGCATTTCAAAATTGCGTATACTGGTAACCGTCTCTGGAAAACAACCAGTTTTGGAAACTCATGTTCGATTTCATAGTTTTAATAACCGCTTTTGTCAGAAGTTTATTGACAAACTACTGATTGGGGGTGCACAATAATATTGATTAATCCCGATGCATGCTCAATAATCCCAGGTAGAAAACACTAAGTCAGGTCCTCTGGACAGATTCTTCTTGTTGACACGTTCCATCTTTTATCCAGAAGACTGTCAGTTTGAGGAGCAGCAATAAACTCAGTCTTATAAATAGCACCTTCTCATAGTGGATCAACCAGTTTGCTGCTGACAGCCAGAAATAGATGTTCACATGTAAAAGGGAGACCATCAGCCTAACAATTGGTCGTTAGTGCCCTAATGGATGCTTGCTATTCACAGAGAGCTGAGTGATACCTGTAATAACAGCATTGTAAGAGGGGGGCAGTTGATCATGGAGACCCCCACCCCTGTTTAACAATGGATGGGTTCTCTACACAAAGATGGCCTCCTTTACGCCTCTCTTAATCCATCGTTCCTCTCTGTCCAGGATGTGAACATCTTCATCCCTGAACGAGTGACCGCTGGGCTAAAGATGAGTGTAGACCGCAGAGTCCTGGCCTGATGATGTTGATCTTCTGTGCTGGACCATCAAGCCAGGACTCTACAGTCTACACACATCTCCATTGTTCAACAGGAGTGGGGGTCTCCATGTTCAACTGTCCCCCAATGCTGTTATTGCAGGTATCACTCAGCCCTCTGTGAGTAACAAGGGGCCATCAGGGCACTAACGACCAGTTGTTAGACTAATGGTTTAAAGCAAAAACAACTGGACTTTATTTGTAACTGAAGACGTTTCGCTTCTCATCCGAGGAGCTTTCTCAGTTTGAAGAACAGAGAGTGTGGGGTTTGAGTTATAAAGCAGAGCTAAGCTTGATACGTATGCAGATTGCCCTATCACTCCTCACAATAGGGGTTCGTTAAGGTCTTTGTTAGTCTGAGTCACAGAGGAGCCACTCTGGTGACGTGAATGGAATTCCTGATAGAAAAAACGAGTGGGTATCAGACCTACAGCTGCATTAGAAGTTTTAGAAAGTTGCAATCTGAGACCTCCTCCTCTGTTTAAAGACGGGTTCTCTCCTTTTACATAAGTGGCATCCTTCACCCCCCTCTCAAACCATGTCTTGGTCCAAAATGTGCCCATTTTGGTCCTAGGATGAGTGACCCTTATCCTTAGTGTCCCGCAGAGTCTTGCCCTCCTTTTACATGTGAACAGCTATCTGGCTGTCAGCAGCAAACTGGTTCCACTGTGAGAAGATGCTGCGTTTGTTGCAGCTCCTCAGACTGAAGAAGTCTTCTGGATAAAAGATGAAACGTTTCAACAAGAAGAAACCGTCCAGAGGTCCTGATTCTGTTAGATCTTCACTTCTTGTCACTTTTTGCACACATTCAATGCACTTTTCCAGAAGTCCCGCTTGGACCTCGGACCCTGCGAGGCTCTCACCTGCAGGATGTCCTGGATCTGACCCAGCTGCTGCCTCAGCACCTGCTTCTGGTGGAAGCTGAAGGCCGGATGGTTGGAGGCCATGGTGAAGAGCAGGAGGAACTGCTCCTCCGTCCTCCCGTCGTTCAGCGCCAGCCCGTAATTGTTGATCACCGTGTCTATGTGGGTCAGGGTCCGGAACAGGACCCCCGCGGCCTCCCGGCTGTCCGAGCCGAGCAGGGCCAGGGAGACCAGCAGCTTGCTGCGCACCACCTCGTCCGTGACGTTGGTGAGGCCCAACAGGTCCGCGGGGTTGTTGGCCCTGATCTCCGCGTCCCGCAGGGAGTGGTAGTCCTTGCGGGCCAGGTCCTCCAGGCAGGAGCCCAGGAACCGGAGCTCGACGGGGACGCAGAGGTCCAGCAGGCCGCACAGGAACTCCGCTCTCTGGGCCGAGCTGAGGCAGGAGAACCAGCGGTACACCCCCTCCCTTTGGACGGAGCTCCGGCTCTCCACCATCCTCCAAGTCCAACAATCAAACTCCGACTTCCAGAGGAAAACTCCACATCAAAGGGAGCGCACGGCTGGCGGCGCGCGTAAAAGCTCTTTGTCCAAAACCTCTCCGCTTCTCTTCCAGGCTGTTGGTTTTCTTTCACATGAACGAAATTAAATAAAAGTCAATCAAATCTGAGGGTCCCCCCCCCCAAACATAACCTCACCAGAACCGCCTCATGGAGTCCGGGCGGTCTGCGTGTTTGTTCTGGAGTCTCTCCGCCGGTCGGACCTCAGCCCAGTCACAGACATTTGTTGCAAAAAGACTCAAAGAGAACCGAAAACTTCCTCTGTGCCTCCATTCAAAGACTCTGAACCTCCCAGGGAGTTTCGGGTCGGAGCCGCCAGTCCCTCACGTCCGCTGCCGAACTCCACGGTCCTCATGGCCACCAGCACGAGCCGATAAAGTTTAAAAACAAAACAAGCTGCAGCTAATGCTAACTGGGAGTTACATTATTACCCGAGGCTTCACCTGGAATAAAAGTTTTGTTCTTAAATTAGTCCAAATGTTGGATGAGTCCTCTCCGCTGTCCGACAGAACTCTGGAAACAAAGTTTAAAAAAAAAAAAAGAAAAACAGCTGTGGATCACATTATACCCACTCTGGCAACAAGTCGAGCCCATCGTGGAGAACGGCCTCCTCTGATTGGCTGAGCCCTCCAGCAGCCAGAACCAGCCTCCTGATTGGTGCAGAGCTTCTCGGGCTTTCATAACTTTGAGTGGAGTTACTGGGTCTTTAAGGAACCAGAAACTGGTTCGGCTGGTATTTTAAGACCATCTCATGCATCTTTACCAGCCCTTAAACCACACAACATTTGCAAAGTCTGGGGGAATATTTCAGACGCACATTTTGCTTTCATGACCCTAAAACGTTTTTAATCACCTAAATTTAACTAATCTACACTGAAATTTATGGCAAACATGCAGCTGAAAGATGTAAAAAAAAAAACAACTTTTGATAAGCTGTAATGTGGCAGGTAAAATAGCCTTACAGTAGCATTATTCATTTAAAATATTTTATTGTATGCACACAAGATCTATCGTCTTAGCTTCTTCCTATTGGGTCACTGAGCAGATTTGGACCATTGTTTTTAAAGCTAAAATACTTAATTAAAGTTAAATGATTTTCATGGGTAATATTTAATGCTGTTCAAAATCTCTTTTTAGAGTGAAATAATTGGAAATTTATTTTAAAAATTCCCTATAAATTCATTAGAAATATTGCCTTCAAAAGTGCCTTTAATGCCATAATCATCAACTGGTGACCCATGGGCCACTTCTGGCCAGTGAGGTCGTTTTTTTCAGCCTGTAAGGGGAGCTGGTGTCACGTGACAGGAAGTACTGACCTTATGATGCTTGGCCCACTTTGTTTCTTCCAGTTTGGAGCAGCACTTTTATTTCAGTGGTCACCATCGAGAGACAAACAAAATTAGAGGAAAGAATGAGTCGAATTTCTGAACGCTCTGCAGTCAGGCTGCAGCGATCAGATGGTGTTACTGATGAAAAAGGCCCGAGATCAACCAGAAAGTTGTTTTTTATTCACACTGCAGAGTTTAACGAAAAAGTAAAAAAAAAAAAAAAATAGAGAAAGAATTTAAAAAAGAACAACACACGTCAGATCAGAGCTTTGGGATGAGAATCTCAAGATTTTTTTATAACCAGAAACATCTGAAAAAAGCTTCTACAGCAGGAGAAGTTGATTCCAACGATAAACAGGAAGAGTTTAATGGAGCAAAGCAAGAGAAAATAAAAAAATATCAGTACGCCCACAGCAGCAAGATTTTAAAATGTATTCATCATCAAGATTGAAGCTGGATGCAGCAAAGCTACATGCTACAGTAGCAGCATCATCTTGACGGTGAGTTTGGAAGTGATCTGTAATTGTAATGTGCAGCTGTAAAATTCAGTGTTATTATTCTGTTTAAAGCAGTTTGGTATGAAGAGTTTGTATTTGTAATTATTCTTTCTTAACATGTGATTCTGTCTTTTTGTCTTCCTGGAGACCTCCGTCCTGGACCTGCCGTTGTGTGTTCGTTTCTCCTTCCTGTCCTCTCGGGCCCATCTGGCTGGGGCGGATGGCCGCTTGTCTCGGGCCTGGTTCTGCTGGAGGTTTCTTCATCGTGAGGGAGTTTTTCCTTCCCACTGTTACATCTGTGCTCGCTTATGAGAGACTGCAACGAAGTGAAAACTTGAAGCAGTCTGCTGGCTCCTTAGATACAAAGTAAATATTGTTATTAACTGATTTTATCTATGTGAATGTTTCTGTTCAGTGCCCTGAGAAGATTTCTGATGTGAATTGGCGCTAAATGAATGAATTGAATTGAAAGCACAAATTACACTGCATATAGATCATGTATGGCCTGGGGGCCAAATGTGGCATTTGGAAGATCTTCATCTGCCTCCAATGTCTTTAAAAAATGACAACTTTGTTTTCAGGTTTTCATCAACTTAAAGTTTTAAAATAATAGATTAAATATCTTGGATGCACATGTCTAAAACCTTTGGATTAAGACAGGCCAAAACCTTTTCGTTGTTTGCTTTTTTCAGGGGACAACATGCTAACTGTGCTTCCATCCATCCCTCCATCATCTTTACCAGCTTCTTCCTTTTTGGGTCACGGGGGTCGCGGGTGCCCATGTCCAGCAATCACTGTGCGAGGGGCAGGGGACACCCTGTACAGGTCTCCCGTCCATCAACTGTGCTTCCATTTATCCAAATAGGATGCAAAAGGAAACATATTCCATATAGTTTGAAAGAAAACTTTGTTTCCAATTTATGGCCCTTCAATTTTTTTCAAAGAAACTGTATCAGCCCCTTGTAAACAAAATGTTGCCTACACATGGTTTAAACTAAATTAGACGTCCCAGGTGTTAGCTAATGGTATATAATCAAATCACAACAAGCCACTCATCTCCCACCTCCACCAGCCTCGCAGCATCCTGAACTCACAGTGCGTTGCTCCGTTAGATTCCCGTCATTAAAAAGAACAAACAGTCAAACCATTTTGGCGGATTGTTTAAGAGCAAAGTTTTTAGTTAAAGCTTTAATTGTTTGTGTGAACAAACGGGGTCCACAGCAGCCTCAGACACTTCAAAGATGTTTCCCACTGGTCACTGCTGCATCCTTTCTCTGGGTACTGGTTAATTCCTGGGAGCTTTTAAAACAGAACAATCGTTTTCGTTTTATTATTATTATTATTATTGTTATTATTATGATTATTTTAAGAGAAAAGTTGGATTTGAATTCTCACCTAAAAATCAAGGTGTGTTTCTGCGTGGAAACATTTAAAAGGTCAAATATTTATCACTTTGAAATTTTAACTTATTTTGGACTTGGATAATTTCCAGGTCGACACAATTTTGTTTTTGTTGTAAAAGTGAATTAAACTGGTTAAACATTGCGTCATGAAGTTGTGATGTTTTGCTGTTATTCACTGATGTGTCCAGAAGATCGCAGCAGAGGTTCATGCTGGAACCAGTCTCTTGTTTCCCTCAGAAAAAAGGTTGTAAGCTCCATCATCCAGGTAGATAACAACAAAAAGGTTAAATCTTGTCATCTGGACCAGTTTCTTTGAGGGAGAAACATCACCTCACTTTTTTTTTATCTGACTACCTCCATCATTGATATATAGACCACGCCCACAATCCATAACCCCGCCCTCTGCTGACGAGAATATTCTGTGGAGGTTGCCATAGCAACCACACTCCTCCTTCCCAAACAGGCACACTCCCTCATTGCATCCCTCAGGGATGCTGCTGCAAAACTGCACACACACAAAAAGCGGGCACAAAAACACACACGAGACGAGCTGCTTTCTTTGAAACACTTTCATTATTGTCTCCACACAACTGAAAATCAAAAAACAATCTTTTTCAAGGAAGAAAGCAAGAAAGAGAAAGAAGAAAGGAAAGAAGGAGAGAGGAGATTTGAAGTATAGAAAGAGCTCGGCATGCTGTAGCATGCTGCAGACTAAAATGGTGGCGCAGGACGTCGTCACCCGACCGAGTGTTTACGGCAAAGCCTCTTAAATCTTACTGGGACCCCGAATAGAAACAAAAATAAATAATCGGTCGTTTTGCCTCACAGGCTGCAGGCACATCCAACTTCAGCTGATGAACAAACATCAGAAATAAACCTTGAGCCACGTTTCAGCTCCATACAAGGGTGGAGAAACACTGGCAGACAAAATAAAGGAAAACCTCGTGGATGTTGTTACTGATGGTCGTGGATTGAAGGGAAGATGTGTTCATGTCCAGAAAACAAACAAAAAGACGAAATTTAAAGAATATTTTTAAGAAAATAAAAGAGCTTTTGCCACAAACTTAAAAAAATAAAAAAAACTTAAAGAAATTAATCCCTGGATATACATCTTCCAATATGGCCGCCACAGCCAACTGACCTTAAAAATACAAAGATGGCTACAGTTAATTCAGTCAGTTTATAGAAACTGACCTAAAGTTTGGTGTGGTAGTAGCTGAGACTGATCCACAACACATTTTGGAAGCCTTTTGAAACTAAATGGAGTAAACTCTATCTGCCTGTTAGCAAAATACCTGCTGAACCACTGAAAACATGTCACAACACATACTCTGAGCATTACGGTGCTTTCCAGCTTTAACTGAGATGTCTTCAGCTACTTTAGTTTAAAAGTCTGGTATGAAAGACTGAGGGAAACATGCATTCCTTGGAGAGATGCTGATCCAGTGGTGCCTGATCCTGGTCCTCGAGGGCCACCATCCGGCATGTTTTAAATCTGGGGTGCCCACAATTTTTCTGCATGTAAGCTACTTTTAAAATGACCAAGTCAAAGTGATCTACCTATTATAAGGCCCCGTTTACACGAGAACAACCTCTGGAAACATTAGTGTTTTTTCAATGTTTATTGGGGGTAATAAACAAAAAAATGAGAGATTTTACACAAAAAACACTAGTTTCCATGTCGGTCGGGTTGCCAGATAAGAAATTATGAATTATAATAGTCGCTTTAAAATGATAGTATTTTGACCTCAACTGTCTTGTTAAGCTCTCTCAGTCAGTAGATCAGTTTAAGTCCAGACTGAAAACACATTTATTCTCCCTGGCCTTCAACCTCAAATTAGCACCTGACTGATTAAAATTTTGGGGAAATTGCAGCAAATGTGCAATATTTGTCTTGATTTTTATTAGTGTTATTATTTTACTGGCATTTTACTTCAAATTTTTATCACACTTTTATTTTTATTAAACTCAATTTTATTTCTTTTATCATATTTTTATCTTCAATGTTGTAATTCTTGTGAAGCACTTTGGTCAGCTGTTTAACTGTGCTACATAAATGAACTTTAAAAAAAAAAAAACAGTCATATGAGCTGAGTAAAGATATTCCACGATGAGGCGTGTGTTGTGTTTGTTGAACATGTGCACAGAAAAGGAGGGGTAAATAAGACATTTTAAAATCATCTGGCAACCCTGATGTGGGGCTCAGCTGCATGCAACATCTGCATGGCAGTTACATCCAAACTGGTGAACACACTAACGTTTCTTTGGACCCTGGATTTTATTAGTTTTGCTCCTACATGCTGAAAAAGGGTGAGTAGCACAAAAACACTCAGCTGTCTGCCGTTTATTATAACTGTTAGTGCAGAAAACGTTTGACTGCAGCCGCCTGTAGTGTGCATGTGCGACTTCACACTTGCGGAGAGTTTGACACATCTGTGGGGGTCCACAGTTCAAAGCTCCGCTCTGAGACCTGGATTCAGAAAGCTTCGGTTTCAGAGAGAACGAGGGCCGTTGTCATGTAAATGAACGCCTGAACGTTTCACGTCGTGCAAACGGGGCCTCAGACTGGCTGCCCTGTCTGTCAATCAAGTGACAAATTTCACAGATGGACGATAAGACTGACGTCTATTTTTTTAATGCCATGCGATTTACCCATAATACCTTTGCGGTCAAACGGTAGGGCACTCCTGCTTTAGATGTTTTTCTGCTCCGACGCCTGATTTATAAACGAGTGATTAACAGACTTTAGAAGTTGAAGACCTGCTGAAAAGCAGAGAAACAACTAAAGCATGCAGGACGGTGTCCCTCCTGGACCAGGACTGGGCTCCACCCTGCTTCACTGTGAATTTGTGATTCGGTCGTGTTACTGCAGTCAGTGTTTCTTCTAAACGCCTCTTTTGGTAGCACAGAGCTTTACAGACATCGTCAGCCTTAAATCTGCAACGCAAACAAATCTTTTTCTTCTGCCTGATGTGTTGGACACCAGATGTGTCTGCAGCGGCTGCAGCTTCACGAAACATCGTGATATAATTTACACAAGAAAGGCCACTGAGACCAACACACACAAGACACGCAGCGTGGACCATCAGTAACAACAGCCGGACCTGCAGAGAAACCAAGAGGCCAGAGTTTTGTAACGAGGAGCGGTCGGTGGCAGAGTAACAGAAACATCAACATATTGCACATGAATCAGAGAAAACGTTGATAAATAAACCAAAACTTACAAATCTGTTGAAAATTATGATTTGACAATGAAAAAAAGTTTGTCTGTCTCTGTCTGCGCCCTCACTGGCCTGACAGTCAGACCAGTTCGGGTCACTTGGGTCTGGATGTGAGCTGTTAAAGCTCCCTCAATGTCCAGTTTCTGGACTTCATAATCTCCCTGTAGTCCAGCTGTTTGGACACTTTACCAACTTTCTGTCCGCTTCTTTGGGCTCAGCATGGACCGGACCAAGCTCAGTTAGACACCATTAGCCTGGGTGATGGTGCAGCCTCGCTCGGTCCTGGTCTCCTCTCGGTCCCGGTCCCCCCCTCAGTAACCGGTCTCCGCTCGGTCGGAACCCAGAGGGCCAGCAGATCCGCTGCAAGACTCGTAAGAACTGATAGTTTCTCTAGCATAGGTAGGTTGACTCTGAAAGCTCTTTAAATAAAAAAGTGGATAAACAAAATAGCCACTCCAATGTTGAGCAGGATCACCATGACGACCAGGATGGAGCTGTAGGTCTGCGTGGGAGAGCGAGAAGAGAGAGAAAAGAGAAAAACTGTCAATATTAAGGACACACACACACACACAGAGTTGTTTCTGTACATAAAGTCCATTTAAAACACAAAACAAAGATTTTGATCAGTTTCACCGACGATAAAAAGGAAACCTTCTGTTTATAACAGAAAACTGCAGATTTATAATTGATTCTGTCATTTTTAGATGAAAACAAACATTTCTAAGGAAACGTTGAAGGACATTTTATTATAGCTTTATAATAATATAAAAAAACACTACATTTTTATGGATGAACTGTATAAGAGATAAAAATAAACTTTTTAAAAAAAGTTTAAAGTTGCTGTCAATGGTTTATAATGGTCACCATGGTAACCAACCACCCGAGGCTGTTACTCCCTGATTGTCAATGTAATGAGGCAGACAGAAAGTAAGGCAGGCTCAAACTAACAGTCACTATGTGGAAACTAAAAATAAGACTTAGTCTAAAGTCTAAAACAAGACTAATATTATTGTGAATAAATCGTCCTTTCAGAAAACCTGATTGAGTTTCACTAATTATATCTGAAATTCCTTTCTTGAGCCTAGCTGCAATAGCAGCAGAAAAAAAAGTATAATCTGTATTCAGTAAGGTAATAGGTCTTAAGTTATCTAAATGTATTTTATCTTTGCCTGATTTAGGGATCAGAACAATCAGTCCTTGTTTCATACTTGACATCAATTCTTCTTTATCAATACAATCCAATAGGGCTTTAAATAGTATTTTCCTTATAATGTCCCAAAAAAATGTGTAAAAATTTACAGTGAGTCCGTCAGATGCTGGGGATTTATTTGAGGTCATGTTCATAATAACAGAATCCCGCTCCTCCATTTTAATTTCAGCATCACAATTTTCTTTGAAGGAAGTCTCAGTTTTTGGTATCAAGAAATGTTATCAAAAAAAAACATTTGCAGTCTTCTTCTGAGTACTTAGCTGAGTATAGTTCAGAATAAAACTTTAAAACTTTTTTCTCTAATATTTTAGGATCTTTATATTCATTTCCATTTATTAAAAGACTTGAGATACAGTTACTCTGCTGTCTGCTACGTTCTAAGTTAAAGAAATAAGAGGAGTTCTTTTCCCCTGCCTCCATCCACTTAGCACGAGATCTCACAAAAGCACCTTGTGCTCGGTTCAAATAAAGTTGATCTAATTTAGTTTGTAATTCCATAAGATTATTTTTTTCTTAATTATTTAGATCTTGTTTGATACAGCATTGGTGTATTTCTTTTAAAAGATTACTTTCATATCTTTTTTGCTCATAATTGAGGTTTTTGCTAAATTTGATGCTAAATTCTCTTATTTTTAAACTTGAGAAATTCCCATTTATTAATGTCTCCTATGATCGAGTCATTAACTTCAACTTCATTAATCAATTCTCTAATCTTTTTACAATATTCCTCACATTGTAACAGTTTGGCATTGAGTTTCCAGTAACCCTTTTTGTGTGATTTCTTAACTACAGGTTCCAGATTCAGTTCTGTGAAACGGTGGTCTGAGAGCGGAGCTTTTCAAGTTTCAATTCTTGAAGTGTGATTTAATATAATATCGCTCCCCAACCAATAGTCAATCCTAGATTTACAACTCCCATTCGGCTTAAACCATGAAAAGTTTTGGGACCTTGGGTTCAGTACTCTCCAAATATCATTTAGATTATTGTTTATCATAAAGTCGTTCATTATACAGTTATGTTGAGGTCTCCCAGACCTTGGAGGCCATCTATCCAACCACTCATCAGGAGTCATGTTCCAGTCACCTCCCAGCAAAATATAATCCGTAGGATATCGACCTTTAAGTTCTGAAATCACATGTGTTATGTCTGTTAACATGACTCTGTTTTGACAGTCATTATTATACCTGTATATATGGCACAGTATGATGAATAAACCATCTGTTCTCACCACAGCTGTCAGCCAGTGTCCCTCAGTATCAGTCCGGTGTGTGACCAATTCTCCTGGAAAATTATTGAAACATAAAGCTATCCCTCCCGATCGGGTCGAACCATGACTGAACAACATCTTATCGCCCCATTGATTCCTCCAGAAACAAGCGTCCACCTCCAAGGAGTGAGTTTCTTGCAGAAATAAACAATGTGATTGTTGTCCCTTGCAAAATAAAAAAGCAGCTTTCCTTTAAACAATTTCTTTCAATCCCCTGACATTTAAAGAACCAAAAGAGAGTTTAACACTTAACATGAACTCAGAACAGTTTTAGATTAAAAAAATAAATAAATAAATAAATAAATAAAGAAAACTCAAATATTCACCCAGTAAGCAAGTAGAAATGAAAAGATTAACTAATAAATCTCCTTTACCGCTGACATGTTTTCCACCCAAACGAACGTTTATCAAATCTTGTTCACCTCTAAAGCTCCACACGTCGTCCTTCAATATATTCATGAGGGCCCCGGAAAAAGGCCTGTTTCCATCTTTCCTGGCTTCATCATTCAGGGGCCACAGTTGCCAGCGCTCCTCCAGGTCTTCTTTTGGTAACATCTCTGCAAAGCTGATACCTTCCTCTTTGCAAACAGCGGATCCTTTGCTCCGCTTCCAAATTTCTTCCTTTATTCACCTTTGGGTAAATAAGATGATCACACTCCTGTTCCTGTTGTTGTCTCTTTTTCCCATCCTGTGGACAACATCTACAGCATCCTCCATTTTGGAGTCTAGCTCAGTGACAATCTTCTTTAGAACTTGTACAATCTTTGCTCTGATGTTCTCGTCCTTCTTCTCTTTCATGCCCTTCACCCGGAGACTCCATCTCATTCTGTACCTCTCTTGCTCTCTCATCTTTTCTTTCAGTTCGTCGTTCTCTTTAAGTAACTGTTTGTTTGCATTTTCTAGCTTTGAAATCCTCATCTTGTGTTCTTTCATTTCCTCTGCATTGTACTGCACTGCCTTCGCCAAGTTAGCAATCATGACGCTGCTCTGTCTTGTTTGTTCTTTGATGTCCTCTAGCTGCGTGTCTACTCTCTTCTCCAAACTCATGATAGCGTCAAATATGACATTATTGGAGACTTGGGCAGTGTCTTCGTCCTCACCTGATTTAACTTTTTTTTTCAGTTTGCGACTTTATTGGAGTCGTTGGTGTCGAGCTATCACGGTCGCGTTTGCAAGTAGCAATGTCCATAGCATAATCATGTTCCGGTTCTTTTACCTGTGGTCTCATTTTTTTCTTTGCGGACCCAGTTTACAGTTTCGCCGGTTTCGTTACCTTATTAACATCCATTGGAACTTTTTGAGTGGAACAAAAAAAAAGTTGAATAAAAGAAATTTGCGGTAATATATGAAGCTCACATCACACGTGACTTTTCAGATCGCCATCTTGGTACCTTCGGACAGATAGGAAGATTCTGGGCGCACCACTCCAGTGCCGAGTACCGGCGCACTGTACGGATCGTGCTTCCGGTTCCACTGTCCCGGTACAAATTTATTTATTTATTTTGTTTTTTTTGTCCTGAAACAGATCGTGCTGTGACACTCACAACCAGGCTATGTATGAAATATTATTTAGCTATCAGACAGCAGCACATTCAAAAGGGGCGCAGCATTCATTTTGATCAGGCAGATAGTTGGGAGACCCGCCACTACATTCAGCGCTGGGTTTGTTTATGCCGGCCGGGGTCCTGTGTAGAAAGGAGAGAGGACTGGTCTGGAGGTGACGTGGAAAATTCTAACAACAGTCATCATTAATGCGCCTTATTTACTGTGTTTACACAGGTAAGGAATGAGTTGATAAAGCTTGAAGACGTGAGCACAAGTGAGTGAATCAATGAGTCTGTGATGCGTACATGTGTGTGGAATAGCTTGAACATACATATTTTGGTATATGTCTATTTTGGAGTTAAACCTCCCTGGTGGAAATGCCACCAGCTGCCACTACATTGAACAACAATACTGCAACCAAAAGTCAGAGCACAGGTTTCCTGATCGAGCTGCACGTTTTGGTGCACAGCTAGATTGTGTTTCGAAGAAACAGGACAAACATTTTGTACAAAGCTGCTTCAACGGCCCTCCTTTAGCTCCTTTGATAAAAGAGCTCCGTTTTAAGGTTGATGTGTCGTTTTGTGACACCTGAGCAGCTGCTGGCTGACAACAAGGGTCATGCAGGTGAAGGCCAGGCTTCCTGACCACCTGCCTAATCTTTATAAACATGAAGTAAACTCTCTGACGTTATCTTCCGATGCAGTGTTTTTGATACATACATGCCGTAATAAAAGCGTTAATCTACAGAAAACCTGCGTTTCCATTTCAACCTGAAATCATTTGAACAACGGCTGCAAAGGGAGGTGGAAAGCAGGAGTGGGTGCAAGAATCTGCATGCACATTAAGCTGCGTCAGTGCAACATTGTTGTGGATGAATCGGTCCAGCCAGGTTTGTGCTGATCAGCGTGGTGTCGGGCTTATCACAGACCTGTGTCACCGGCATTATCAGACCGCAGGGGGAGGCAGGTTGATCGCCAGGACTTTCTCCCACATTCACACTCACAGGTGTCCACCAACGCAACCGATTCCGTTTACATCAGAAGTTATTGTTTAATATAGACCCAGCAATCCTTAAATGAATGCATATTGTCCGCCAGCTTTTATGCCAAATTTAAAATGAACGCCTTTTATGATGAAAAGGGACAAAGTTTCAACAGTTCTGGTCAAACCTTGTGAAAAGAAAGACGTGTCAGAGCTCAGTATGTGTTGTGGGAGAGTCTCAGCTACTACCACTCCAGAATATGGTGCAACATCTGCAACACTGACTGAGTTAGAGTCATTTTTGTGTTTACTAAGGTACAGTTAGCTGTGGCAGCCATCTTAAATCTTGGTAATTGCATAACGTAAATAGTTAAAGATGTACATTCTGTGTTTAATCTTTGAGTTTCAAGAAAATCTGTCCAGTTGTTCAAGAGATATTTTTACTAACAAGCAGATAAACACATGCACACACAAGGCCACAAACTACATGATCACCTAC